GCTGAACTACCAACCTTCCACAGCCTGCAGTTCAGCGTCTTAACCACTTGAGCCACCGCAGCTCCTAGGATGTTACACTAATAAAAAAGATGGTATTCGGCTGATGATGTTCAGAGGATATTGTCTATATCCCAGAACAACCGTACGGGGCCACCGCACTGCTGCAGTATGATCTTCCAGGGCCATTCCGTTCCCAGTTGTTTAAGGGATCGTTGGTGGAAGTGGCAGTGGCGGCTCCTAAGCGAAAGCCTGGTGGAAGAGCTCCGTCTTGCAGGCCCTGCGGAACTGTGCCAAGTCCCACAGGGCCCTGATCTCCTCCGGGAGCTGATGGTGTTCAGAGGATATTGTCTATATCTCAGAACAACCGTACGGGGCCACCGCACTGCTGCAGTATGATCTTCCAGGGCCATTCCATTCCCAGTTGCTTAAGGGATCGTTGGTGGAAGTGGCAATGGCGGCTCCTAATTGAAAGCCTGGCGGAAGAGCTCCGTCTTGCAGGCCCTGCGGAACTGTGCCAAGTCCCGCAGGGCCCTGATCTCCTCCGGGAGCTCATTCCACCAGGTAGGAGCCACCACCGAATAGGCCCTGGCCCTGGTTGCCACGAGCCGGGCCTCCCTGGGGCCTGGGGTCACCAGGCGGTGTTGTGCCCCGGACCGAAGTGCTCTTTGGTGTATGTACGGGGAAAGGCGGTCCCTTAGGTATGTCGGACCCTGGCCATGTAGGGCTTTCAAGGTAAGCACCAGCACTTTGAAGCGAATCCGGAACGCCATTGGCAACCAGTGCAGCGCTTTCGGCACAGGCCGGATGTGCTCTCCGCGGGGGATGCCCGTCAACAGCCTGGCTGCAGCATTCTGCGCCAGCTGCAGCTTCCGGATTTGCCCGCTCATTTGGTTGCCCGCTCGTTTAGGAATCTCAATAACACCCCCCCCCCCAAAATTGACCCGACACCACCTTCCCCAGGCAGCTCCCGGTGCTGACCACAAAGGGCGGCGACGTTTCAGGGGTTTAAAGAAACCACCCGGTGCAAAAACAACAGGATCGAAAGAAGTTTGGTTTTTGGTTCTCTTGTGCCCCGAAGTGCCGCTGTTCCCCCTACCTTCGACTCTTCGTCCAGCTGCCTCTTGAAGTCGTCCACCTGAGAGGTGAGGGTCGTCTTGACCCGGATTATCTGGTTCAGTCTGGTCTGGGATTCTTCATGTTCCCGGCTCAGCTCGCTGTTCTCGGCTGTGGGGCGCGAGAGGGGGGAGAAGTGCGGTTTGAGGAAAGAAGGGTTACTGTGGGGGTGTGATTTCTTACTCCCTCCTTGAGGGAAACAGGAAGGTGTGGGTCGTTACAGTCCGGACCTTGAAGAATTTCTCATTTCCCTTTTTAACCCATTTTGAAGCCGTTTTTGATCCGTCATGGAGTAAACCGGTATAGGGCTGCCATTTCACACATGGCTTTCCCCTTCCGGTAAAGAGCTGGATCTGAAGCGGTTTGCCATTTCAGACTGCACCGCTTTTCCCCACTTTTTCCCTACCATTTTTCGCCCGTGCGGGCCATCTCCGGCTTTTTTTTTTAATGTTCGCTTTATAGCGCTATAGCATTATAACAAAACACTCCAGGCATTCCAATGGGGTTGATATACTGCTGTTCCGTTATAATGTTATAGCGCTATAACGCTATAAAGCAAACACTAAAAAAAAAGCTGGAGATCGCCCGCACGAGAGAAAAACGGCGGGAAAAAGTGCATTGGAATCGGGAGAGG